GGAAAGTATCTGATTAACTCATCAATAGATTTCCGAGAGTAGGCAGAGTATCTGATTAGCTCATCAATAGATTTCCGGGAGTATCTGATTAACAATAATCAACAAGGATCTACATAAGTATCTAAGGAATTAAGGGAACTAAGGTGGGGATGCTTCAACTATTATTATCTAAATTAACTGAGTGGTTCACAGCCCTGACCTTTGTTAGGACTTTCAAGCCCTGACCTTTACTAGGACTTTCAAGGGCTACCAGCTTCTGGGGGGTCTCTGTCTAAACTCAGCTAGTGAAGACAATGAATGGACTCCGGCAAAGCACTTTCATGAGTAAAAAATCCAGATTTTTAAAATAAGTTCCTAGGAATAGCTTAGTTTTCACATTTAATATCTGAACCTCACATTTATCACAGGTAGCACGAAATTGTTTTTATTTTAAAAAACAGTTATATATTAAGAGCAAAGAGTATAAAATCAATAAATACACACCCCTGTATCATATAAAATGTGTGTGCCACATTTCCCTAAGAAATTTCCTGCATTTAGACATCCTGGTCCATATTCATCTAAAAGTCTGAGTGTACACTTTACCCAGCAGTTTTTACCTTTGGGCTTTGGTACATTTCACAGAAAGGAAAATATAGGCAGTGGAAGTAGAGGCAGAAGTAGAAGACTTCGAGCACAAGAACCCATCAAATGTATGCTTGGGACAAGTAAAATGAGGACCTTTCCAACTGGGCTTCAGTGACTAAGGGTGGTAATGGTACAAAACGTGCAAGAAGTCAAAGAAATCCTTTTCCTTAATGGGAAAGATGACACCATGCAACGTGAGTGGAGTGATTAAGAAGAAATGTTTATTGGATTCAATTACTCAGCTGATAGCTCATCTAAATTTCACTTTGTGTTTAAATATTTGTCTGAAAAATGACTTCACATCATTTGTATAGCCTCAGAATGTCAGGACGGTGCGGATACTGAAATACAAAATTAAAGATATTATTTTAATATTTATGTAGTTCACACTCTTCCATGTAAGAGTCTAAGGGACATTTGATGTGTCTCAGTGAACAGGTGTCTGTGTTTCCTGCCACTCCATTGCCACACCTATGCATTCAAGTCCAAGATAGTTCACCTTTTCCCAGTTTGGTCTTGTGTTTTCTCCAACCTTAAACTCAAGCCTGAACATGGCTGTCATTTAGGTTTTATTATGCATTGGGATTCTCACAAAACATTTTTAGAGCCTACATGCTTGACATAATAGTTAATTGAAAACAAGAATGGGTAATGAGTTTTTGCTATTTGTCACATACTCCATAGATGTTCCTTGTGTATTTTATCACTTAAACTCAACAATGCTATGAGGCAGACTTTAAAGATTAAAGATTAAAAATACTGAGGCTGCCCTGGCCAGTTTTGCTCAGTGGATAGAGCGTCGGCCTGTGAACTGAGAGGTCCCAAGTTTGATTCCGGTCAAGGGCATGTACCGTGGTTGTGGGCACATCCCCAGAGGGAAGTGTGCAGGAGGCAGCTGATCAATGTTTCTCTCTCATTGATGTTTCTGATTCTCTGTCCCTCTCCCTTCCTCTCTGTAAAAAATCAATAAAATATATTTTAAAAAATACTGATGCTTAGAGAGATTTGTAACTTGCTGTAGGTCACACATCTGGTGCAAATTGCTGGGATTTAAACCCCAATGTAAAATTGCACAAATTATAAGATGACAGGTATCTTGCCTGAAGGAAGCAATGATGTAACAGTAAATGATGAAGATTTAATAGACCTCTGATAAAGTGGTGCATAAGGAGATAAAGCTGATTTGTATTTAGAGAGACTCCATTCTTGGGAAGATCAGACATATAACATTTACACTACAACTCATGTTCTTTCTCAGAATCATCTGATGAATAAATACTTTAGAAAAGGTCTTCATGCCTTTAAAAATTATATTAAATATTATATTACATTAATATTTAACATAACATTTATATTAAATGTTACATTATATTAAAACAATCCCAATGTAGCTCCACCTACTCCTATATGTAATATATATTTACAGCCATTAATGTCAACCTTTTTAACTGGCCAGGCAGAGGCTTCAGTGACTCCAGGTTATGCTTATGACACAGGACCCTGATTCTTTTTCTTAGCAAGGGTGAGTGTAATTTTGTATATAAAGACTAGAGACCTGGTGCACAAAATTGTGTACTGGTGTGGGTGGCTGGGGTGAGGGACCACAGCTGTTCTGGTAGTTCTGCTGTTTGGTCAATTTGCATATTACCCTTTTATTATATAGGATGAGTGGCTTTGATTATTTAGATTCATTGTAACCCATATGTAATTTCATTTCAGCAGAACTGGAAATGCAAAACAACTGTTCCTAGCTACTCACAATATGATCTTAAATGTTCTACATGCAAAGACTGAACTAGTAATCTAAAACCAAGGCACTCCAATGTTTTTCTCGTACTTTCACCGCTTTTCTCTATTAATCAAACCCCCACCATAAAAGGAAACTTAAAAACTACCTCTTTCCAGAACGAAGCAGGTCAAATGCTTCATTTATTTTCTCAAAAGGTAAAACATGGGTTATTAATGGATCGAATGAATACTTCTTAGCCATAAAGTCAGTCACAAGTTTTGGGACGGAATCTTTACTCTTAAAGCCTGAAAAGAACATGACATCATTGTTAGAGGCAGCCAGGGGTAGGAGAACTGGAGAGGAGACTTTCTGAATAGAATTCAAGTGGAAGTTCTACTGCTACTTACTTGTACACAGACTACTATGACTGAGGTCAGTGAGAGACCGAGTGCTCCAATACCCTCTTGCAGTGGTTAGACTTTTTTTGTTGTTGTTTCTTAAAAAAATCTGATGAGCTAAGCTAGGGTCCTTAGTTATTAGCTCTCTCACAGAGATATTATTGTATGCATGGTTATTCCCAAAGGCAAGGAGCAAAATGTGCAGCTGTCTAGATTTGGGCAATGAGAGTAACCATAAATTATTGCTATGGATTTTCTGGGTCCTACTAGGTATATTCAGTGCCTTGTGCAGTCACATGTATAAAGAGAAGTGGTGCTAAGAGACCCTAGTTTATGAGGACACCAGAAAAGCCTGTCTTGGGAATGTGTTTATTAGTTCTACATCTAGTTGATTTGAAGCCTGTAGATGTATTGGAGCCTACTAATTTATTTCAAACATTTTGCTTTTTAAAACCTGGTTTTGGCACTTGATGAAGGGGAGAAATCCTGAGATTAATAAGAATTCAGCCCTATTGGAAGACAGAGGAGGGTGGCAGTGGGCAGGGGTAAGAGGTCAACCAAAGGACTTGTATGCATGCATATAAGCATAGCCAATGGACATGGACAGTAGGGGGGTGAGTGCATGTGCTAGGTGTCAGGAGAAGGCGGGGAGAAATCAATGGGGAAAAAAGGCGACTTGTAATACCTTCAACAATAAAAAAATAAATAAATAAATAAAAAAGAACTCAGCCCTCAAGCCTACATACATACCACCAAAAATTGCTCCTGTCCAGGTACGCCCACCCAATAGCAGCATGGGGTTCACAGAGAGATTCTGGGAATCAGGAGGTACTCCTACAATGACGCTTACGCCATATGCCTCTTGACAGCTTGCCAAGGCAGCCACCTGGAACAAAATTAATACCTGGCATCATTGAAGTGGACTTTCTGATAGTCCTCATTCCTGATACATGGCATGTAATTTTGATTTTGCTAGATTGCAAACATGTGGAGGGAAGAGATTATATGTCTTTGGCTTCTTCGATCCCATTATGCCCAGAATAGTGTTGTGGTTTTGGGAAATGTCCAAAAAATGCTTTTTGAATGAGACAATGGGTGAATGAATTTGTGTACACTTAATTCTTCCTTAATAACGTAATGAAGAGGTAAATGTTATTACAAATATATCTATGTAAAACCTGATTACTCAAATACAAGTAATGTTTTGTCATCACCCAATTGTCAGGCAATCTATGAGTTGGTTAACCCATTTTTCATTTGCATCTTAAATAGTATTTTGAACTCAGTACTTTAAATCAGGTGTTCTGATGGTGAATAAGATATAAGATCAATTATATCATCACAATTTGTCTTTTGTCCACTTGATGGTCTCCCTTTTTAATGGTTTCCTACAGTACTCTCCTTTTCTAATATGGACAATTTTTCTGTATTTTTTCCAGCTTTGTTGAGGTATAATTGCCAAATAAAAATTGTATAAATGAAGGCTATACAACATGATTTGTAGGGTGTAAATATGATGATTTACTATACATATGCAGCATGAAATGACTAGTACAATCAAGTTGACATTATCTCACATGGTTACCATTTTCTTTTTTATAGTAAGAACACTTAAGATCTATTCCCATTGCAAACTTGAAGAACAGAATACAATATTATTGACCATAATCACTGTATTGTACATTAGAGCCTCAGACTTTACTCATAACTCTCATTTGTACCCTTTACCAACATATCCTCATTTCCTACCCCAAACCCAGCCCTGGCAACCACCATTGTACTCAGTGGTTCTAAGACTTCAACTTTATCCCACATATAAAGGAGATCATAAAGTATTTGGCTGTCTGTGTGTGGCTTATTTTACTTAGCGTAATGTCCCCAGCCTTACTTATGTTGTTGCAAATGGCAGGATTTTCCTCTTTTTATGGCTGAATAATATGCCATCATATACATATCACAATTTCTTTATTCACCCATCAATTGACAGACACTTAGGTTGTTCTCACATTTTGGCTATTGTGAATAATGCTGCAGTAAACATAGGGGTGCAGAAATCTATTTGAGGTAGTGATTTCATTTTCTTAGGATATATACCTGGAAGTGGGGTTACTAGATCATACCATAGTTTTATTTTTAATTTTCTAAGGACCCTTTATACTGCTTTTCAGAATGTTGAACCACTTTACATTCCCACTAACAGTGCACAAGGGTTGCCTTCTCTCCACACCCCTGCCAACACCATTTCTTGACCTTTTGATAGCAGCCATCCTAACAGGAGTGGTGAGGTATTGTCTCTGTAATTTTGATTTGCACTGCCCTGATGATTAATCATGGGGAGCACTTTATAATATACCTGCTGGACTGAAATGAACATGTTTTAAATGGGCTCTTACCTCCCAAAAATGTATACAGTGCATTGGTTTTACTTTAAACTATACCTATAATTCTGAAACTCCAAAAGAAAGCCTTCCCCTTCCAGTCAGGGCTTTAAACATGTTGTAGCAGGACACTTTTTCAGGATCTCCCAGCTATATATACTGACCAGTGACCTGGTGCACAAAATTCGTGCACATTAAAAGGGAATTAATTGGAGGAAATATTTTAATATTGCTATTTGCCCTTTCTCTATAATAGAAGTGTCAGAGATGAAAGAAAATTAGTAAAATGTACATGAAAATCTTCCTCCTGTCAGAGTCTGGGGCATGCCTCGGGACCCAGAGTCAAGTCCTCGCCCACCCGCGTGTGCCTCAAAATTGTACAAGACCCAGACCTGGCCAGCCCCACCCTCATTGACTAGATCCAGACCCGGCTGGCCCCACCCCCATCAAGCCCCGCCCAGTGGGCAGGGGTGTGAACTCAGGTCACCTGGCCTGGCATCGGGGTGGAGGGGCACAGCCTGAGTTCCCCTGGGCTGGGGGGTGCACCTTGAGGTCCTCTGGCCCAGGCCAGGGGGCACACCTTGAGGTCCCTGTCAAGCCCTGCTGGGTGGGGGACACGCCCACAGGTCCCCCAACCTGTTGCCAGGGCAGGGGACACTGCCTGAGGTCCCCCGGCCCAGGCCAGGGCAGGGGGCACACCTTGAGGTTCCCTGTCAAGCCCTGTTGGTGGGGGAAGTAGATTGAGGGGAAGGCCTGAGGTCCCCCGGCCTGGCGCCAAGGTTGGGGGGCATGGCCTGAGGTGCCCTGTCAAGCCCCACCAGGTTGGGAGCGCAGCCTCAGGTCCCTGCTGATTGCTCGTTAAGGCTCATTATGGGAACTTGGCCTCCGCTGTGGGTGCAGTCATCTTGTGTTACAGAATCCCTGCCTCTGCTGTGGGTGTATCCATCTTGACCTTTACAGCGTGATAGTCAATTTGCATATTCCCTCTTTACTAGATAAGATTAATCCTTTGATTTTGGAGTATGACATCTGGAAAACCAGATGACCATGGGACATGTGGTTATCAGACATTTGCTGTCTTCAAATAAAGTAACAATCCAATCCCACATGAGGAATTGGAAGGAATTTAACTGGAGATGGCTTCCTCATGGTAATTAATGATGTTTGTAATTATTTGAAATTAATGTTATGTATGTTGTAGAGATGACGGAAGCACTGCATCACTGAAAACATTACTTCCTATCAGTAGCACCAGATATTTATTAAGAGCTTTCCATTGACAAGTGGCACTGTGCTAAGTATTTTACATACATTAACTCATGTAATCCATAGATATGTATTTCTTAAACTTTTTGGTGGAAAAATCTGTTGACTTTTAAAAGTATTCAGTCTAACACATAGATTTGGCGCTTAATATGTGTGCCAGGCACTGTGCTGTATGCTGTGGTAAATGGGGCATGTTTTATGTTAATAAAATGATACTTGCCTTAAATTTCTCATTATTTCTTTTGAGCAAATTGTGATTTATGAAGAAAAAATAGGAACTCATTAAAACATAAAAATTACTAAACCATTTTGTTTAAAAGTGTGAGGAGAAATTGAAAAATAAAACTTGCCAATTTGAGAACAGGATTTGTATGATTTATATTTACTTGAGTTTGAATATTTTAACTAAAAATTAACAAAGTAAATTTTAAGTGGTCTAATACTCTAAAAGGGAATTATTCCTGGAGATAGGATTTTTAGTTGATGGAATGAAACATTTTTCATAATAATAAATTAAATAATCCAGGTACTAATTAGGAGATGAAAAATCACTATTCTTAGTTTGAAAAATATTCTGTACATATATTTATATTCTGCTGCCTAAGAACATACTCCAGAATGCAGAAACACACATTTCATGGCATTCCATGGCACATACATACCATGGTGTCAAGCTGACCAACGACTTCAAATGAAAAATCCACACCTCCACCGCTCATTTCCTTCAGCACCTCGTGGATGGGTTTCTTGAAGTCCTGTGGGCTGATGCACTCGGTGGCGCCCACTTGCTTCGCCTTCGCATATTTGTCTTTGTTGATGTCCACCCCAATGATCCTGGCTGCTCCAGCCGCTTTACAGCCCATGACAACCGACAGGCCGACTCCTCCCAGGCCAAACACCGCACAGGTGGAGCCTGGCGTCACCTGTGTTTCAGAAAATGCAAAAATGGGTTAAGTAATGATTGTTGTATAAAGTGTCCTGTCTTATCCATTTTCAGGACTATTCAGACTCCTATGTCCAACCTGCTGTCAAAACCTGTTTTGGCTTCAGTTGTTTCATATTTAAATTCAGGAGTTTAAATCTGTGGTCTGAACTTTGCCAGACATTAGACCCCCGTGGGGAGCTTTAAAACCTCTCAATGGCCAGGTCACAGCCCATAGCCAATTACATCAGAACCTGTGCAGGTGGGGGCCTGGTTCCCAGGTGATTCCAATGGAAAGAAAGCCCAGGCTGGGAGCCCACTGTTGGATGATCTCTGAGCTCTAAATGCCAATGACGCCCATCTTGAAGACAATCTAGGGCAGTGATGGCGAACCTATGACACGCATGTCAGAGGTGACACGCGAACTCATTTTTTGGTTGATTTTTCTTTGTTAAATGGCATTTAAATATATAAAATAAATATCAGAAATATAAATCTTTGTTTTACTCTGGTTGCAAATATCAAAAAATTTCTATATGTGACACAGCACCAGAGTTAAGTTAGGGTTTTTCAAAATGCTGACACACCGAGCTCAAAAGTTTCGCCATCACTTATCTAGGGGCTGAAATCCATTGACAGGCTTCAGTAAATTGTACATACACAGAAGCAATTTTTGGAAATAAAGTAAGTGGGAAAGGTTAATCCATGAGACCAAAGATAATCTAATCAAATGTTCAATGATTAACTCCTTGTTTCATTAGCTTTAGAAGTCATGACGAGTACAATGAGAACAGAAATTAGCTATAGGGCAGAGAAGAGTTATTCTCAGCTTCAAGTCAAACCTAACAACAGGGGAAATGGAACTGGAAACTTTAAACAGCTTGAGACCAATGTGATCTTAGTGGGTCTTTATCTTTGCTTTTTAAAATACACTAATGAACAATAATGCAATAAAAGTTGGCCTACATTTTAATAATGGATGAGATTCCTTTTCGTGAGTGCCCTTGCCCTCTGCTCTGTGTGCAGGCTCAGTTAGACCACCTGCTCAAACAGACAAGGCAATTGCACAAGGGACTTAGTGCTAGAGTCACCGAATTTGAAAAACATGTGCTCTCAGTTGTTGAAATTGGCTAGGGACTGTTTAATACACCTAGTCATTAATAGGAGTCAGCCTTCAGTGTGGGTAAAATATTCCTTCTGTCCCAAGTAATCAAGCATTCTCTGGAGTACAACATCACTTTTTACTTTACTTAAAAAGAAAAGTGAGGCTTGTGACTGTGGTTTTAAAATGCAGGTAACTATATATTACTAGAGGCCCGGTGCACAAAATTCATGCACTGGGGGTTGGGGTTCCCTCAGCCCAGCCTGGCCCCTCTCACAGTCCAGGAGCCCTCAGTAGCCTAAGCCACACTCTGGCAACAGAGGCTCAGAGCAGGCATCCTGTGTGTGTGTGCTGGCTGTGCCTGCGTGTTTTTCTCTCCCTTCCTCCATTGCTGGGGGCAACCTAAGCCTCTAGCTCCATGGCCACTTGGCTTCTTCGCTGCAGCTGCAGCGAGGCTTTGTTTCTCCTCTACAGCCTTAGCGGAGAAGCCAAGCCTCTTCAGTCTTCAGTCTTCACTCGGCCGGAACCTTCAGTCTTCGCTCCGCACCTGTGTATGCAAATTAACCGCCATCTTTGTTGGGTTAATTTGCATACTCATCTGATTGGCTGGCAGGAATAGTGAAGTGACACCAATTTGCATGTTTCTCTTTTATTACTGTAGATTAGTGGCCTGGTGCACGAAATTGTGCACATTGAAAGAAAATTAATTACAAGGAATATTTTAATAATTGCTATTCTCCCTTTCTCTATAATAGAAGTGTCAACCAAATTCACAATCGACAATGACAGATGGAGACACATGCATGCAATTGGTGCCAAGAGAGCTTTATATGTACTTCATGTGCATGCTTAGCCTTTTATAGATATAGAATAAACTTGCTTAATTAGACCTGCTTGATGATTTAGCTAAACTTTTTCCAGCCCAGTGAAGCACCCCAACTTCTCTTTCAGGTAATTGTCAGCAACACAGCAGCAAATATCAACACGAAGCAGATTATTATTGTAGATCACACAGGGAGAATAATGGGTAAAATATTTAACTGCAGTGGTGTTTGACTATATTCTGCATAGTGAGAAAACCTAAGTCATTTTCAAGGTCCACCATTTCTTACTTCTTTTCAGTCGGGTCAAGTTTCTAAGCTTTCTGGGTAAAGTAAATCTCCGTTTTCTGGGTAATGAAATGAAAATAGGATTCCACTGGGCTTCCTATCTACCTACTCCAGGACTTCTGTGAGAATCAAATGCGATGAGGCACAGGAAAAAGCTTCACAAACATTTGGTGACAGTGTAAAATTTTTCCACCCGGCTATAAAGCAAGCCATGTTCCTGGGCTGAAGAAACTCCAAGGAGGATAGTTGCTAGGGAGAGGAAGCCAGGCATTGCTATTTGATGTCATTACCCAAACGGGGATACTTAGCATATTAGCCTTTTATATATATGGATGGTTTAATATTCAGCAAGAGTTTTTTAAAAGACATGCTATGTGAGTCACAGCCATAATATTTAGGGCAAGTAGCATTTTGGATCTGGGCCTACTAGATTTCTAACGAATTTCTCCTTCAAAGCTACCACCTCTATGGGGTGTGTGTGTGTGTGTGTGTATGTGTGTGTGTGTGTTTGTCCATGGCAAGGGAGGAGATGAAGCAGTGAGATCCCCTAATCAGTGGAAAAAATGCATAATACATAACCTCAGCTTTCTTGCTTTCCTCACAGGGTTCCACAGAGCAGGTAAGTTGGTGATGCTTGGTCTGGAGGTGTAACAGGTAAGGCTTTGGAATCTACTGCTGGTCCTAATTCGGGGAATAGCGGGTCATGGACTAGATGCTCCTCAAAGGCAACTCTTTCATTTCATTTACTTTTGCTGCCTCAGGACCCAGCAGAAGTTCCTGTGCCTGGTGCATGTGTGTGCTGACTCACAGTAGAATGAATGACTAAATGAGGCCTCAGCTCTGAAATTTAGTAATCCCATAAACAACAAATACAGAAAAATAATGATTGAAAATGGCACCTTTACCTTTTCTTCATTAGTTATCAACAGCGTTTTCATTTGTTATAAACAGATTAAATTTCTAGGATATGCTCTTAATTTTTTCTGAGGGCACTTTTCTTTTTGGTTTTGTTTTTCTTATCTGAGGGCATTTTTCTACTCATAATTGACACTCTAAATTCTGTGGAGTATATCAGTGTTGTTGTGGTAGTGGGAAGGCAGGAAAGCTGACAGTAAATTTATGAAGAATTGCCTGGATTATTATGAGAAATCACTTTCCTTTTTGTTTCTGACAACCCGAGTGCAACTGCTTTGTCATCTGTTGTCATTCCTACCTTGGCAACTTCAATGGCAGACCCATAGCCAGTTGTGAATCCACAGCCAATCAGACAGACTTTCTCTAGTGGTGCGGCTGCATCGATTTTGACCACTGAGATCTCGTCCACCACTGTGTACTGGGAGAAGGTGCTGGTGCTAAGGAAGTTGCCTTTCAATAGTCTCTCAGAAACAGGATCCAGTCACCATGATGTCATTAGACATTGCCTGGCAGCATTGTTATTGGTTTGGGTTTGTACGTGCCTGAAGATTGCCAAAGAGGACATGTGACTGTGGGAACAACCATGGATTTTAAAGTATTTCCACTGCATTAATAGTTATCTTTTTCTCCATGCCCTTTCTCTAGATAGTTTTATACACATTTTATTTAACCCTTAAGAATTAAGTCTTAAATGTTCTTAGTGTAAGTACATTTATAAATTTTAGTAATGAGACGCTGCCATAGTTTCACTAGATGTTGGGGAAAGCCAGTATTTTCTAATAGTTTCAGTTACAGTAAAAAATGAGAATTTTGACAACCATTCCTGGATTTTCAAAGTGACTGCTTATTTTTACTATAAAATGACTTTCTATTTTTTAATTTTTAGGGTTTTTTCCCCCCAAAGAAAATGTAACAAAAATGTGAGAAAAAAGAATTAAAGAAATTCCTTTAAAAATCTCAACCCTCAACGAGTTAGGCACTTTCTTTTAGGATGAAAATTCATTTTTAAATGTTTTTAGCTGATAACTTAATTTGTGAATTATTTATTTTGCCTGCTATGGGGGAGGGAGCCGGGGTGAAAGTAAAAGTGTCATTTATTGTTAATTTATTTCTAAGTAAAGGAAATACTAAGAGCTGAAACTCAAACCAGACCATATATTTTAATATTTTCTGTCAACAAGTTAAATAAGTATTTGGTAATGGGGCAGGTCAAATCTACTGGCTAACATGTTTTTTGTTTTCAACTAGTTCTCCTACATATCCACAAAACCCACAAAAATGGTTAGACCATAATATTTAATAGATAAACTTTATATGGAGATAATAGCACGAACATTTTATATTTATTCACTCTTTACCTCTAAGAATATTTCTCTATATTAATGCACAATAAAATTAAGACAAAATAAATGTTAAGGATAAACTAGTACCCTGTAACCAGTCACAGTTAGCCATGGTTTAATGTAGTAAAACAGATACTGTTTATTGCAGGGGCCTTCTGACAGGTCTCTCCTTGCCTTCTAACTAGTCTGTTTCATTCATTCTGTGCTCAAGAAGGGAGGCCATAGTGGAAGGGAAACCCAGTGAATGGGTTCCACTTCCCACCTAGAGGAGATCATGTTGATTCAGTCAGAGCCCCAGGCTCCCCACCCTGGGAAGTCAGCACTGAACAGTTCCCATGCACTGACCTATAGGCTCAGGACACAGACTTAGATGTTTTTCCTGTGTCCCATTTGTAGTTCTTCTTGGACCTGAGAGAAGACAGTGCTTAGCAACACTGAAATGGAAGTTATTTGATTATGACCTCAGGGAGTGTGTTCCTTTTGATCCTCATGTATCCCAGGATCTAACCTGGTGCCTGACAGATAGCAGGTGCTCA